GTTTGAATAATCAATATCTTCTAATAATTTCGAGTAAAAGAGTTTTTCTTTATAAAATTATTATAAAGAAATACCTTGGAGAGGATATTCTGCTTTAATATTCATTTTTTTCAAAGTTTCCACAAATTTTTATCACTGAGGTCAATAAACTTAGGAAAACATAGGTACAAGGTTGACTTTTCTCAAAATTTTTCCAATTTGATTTCATTTTTTAGTGGTGGTATTTTTAATTTTCTGTTTGACTTTTTCATTTACATAAACATGAAAATTCTGGATAGCTAACTTTACGAGACTTTTGATATATTCTTTCCTAAGGCTTGCTAGCATGTATCAAAGGCATACTATGTCAAATTATGATTTTAAGTACATTTACCAAATGTTTCTGGGTTTTGAGGACTCTATAATAGTGAAACAAATTTACTTATCACAGGCACAGTTTTTTAAAACTCCAGAGATTTTGTAAGACCATGAGGGTAACTTTAAGATTTTATCATAATATAATAAAATAGAGGCACGAGATCTCTGCAGCTTTCAGGTACTAGATGTTTGGTTTTGAATTTGCCATTCAATTTGAATCTTCTGTTTGAGAACTGAGAAAGCACAGCCTTATAAATGTTTGGCATTTTCTAATTAAACCAGCTTTATGATCATGTTTATGACGTTACCTGCAAACAAGTATTCTTGCTTATTTCAGGCTTCATTTGGGCATGAGAGCATGAACTTTAAGGGAATGTCAAAGAAATGCAACAAACAGATTAGACAGAGTTCCCGATTCATACCTCTGTGCTGTCAACCAGCCAGGCCACAGACAGTTGTCAATAGAGATATATTTTCTTCCATAAATGTATACTTCACAAAAATGTCGTCCACTGTTCAGCTTTCCCCTTTCCTCTATTTCACAGTGTTCTAGCAAAGTATTTGATGGCTTCTTTTTCAATTGACTTCATGTAGGTTACAGGTACATTAAAAATGAATATTTACTAGTTCCAGGTTCATGTGGTCAATTTATACACCTCCCAGTATTGTTTGTATTCAAAGACTCTGCCATTTGAAGAAGTCATTTCCTTTTGAAAACTCAGCAAATCATACTTTACATGGTTTGAATTTGGAAAATCTTTTTTTTGATGAATAAATTAAAATCTGGATATTGTCACCAAGGGAAAATAGGTTTTTCTAGTTTTTCTAAACCTGGAAACAGGTGCTTTAGACATGATGCTCATATACCTCAAGAAAACATCTCATTTTCAGTGGAAAATAATTTGGTGTATCAAAATCTGTGTCAAATGCCAGTGTAAATATAAATTTTAGCATCTTGGGTAATCTGTAAACTGCTGAATGCTGAGAACCATTGAGTGAGAAGTACATTCTGTGCTTATGGCCCCCCCACTGCCTCCCAATACACACTTTTTTCCCCCTAAGTTCCTGACATTTATTAGGTTTCTCATCAGTGTGAATTTGCTCATGTTAACAATGTGTGAGGCACAAATATAGGCCTTCTCATATTTTTACATTCAAAAATTTTTACACCAGTTTGAAATCTCTGATGTACAGTAAATTGGCAGCCACTACAAAAGTTCTTCACAGATCATTACATTCATAGAGCTCCTTTATGTTATGAATTCTCTGAAGTAGAGTAAAAGGTACATGTTTTTCATGAGTGGGCATTTCTCCATAGCTGATTGCCTCATACCTGAAATCAAAATGTATGCCACAGTTTTACAGCTGCAAAAACTGATCAGTCCTCCTTGGGGTTCCACTGGAGAAGAACAAAGAGAATCCAGAACTGGGAAAGGAAAATGAAACCATGGCATACGTCAGTTGGTGTTTCCTTCTCACTGGAAGAACAAAGAGAATCCAGAGCTTGCAAAGTGTGAGAACTGTGCAAAAACAGAAGGGCTTCCCCATACACACCTGACTCAACTTACTTATTTGGAAATAAAATTCTGGATTTTCATTCTTCTTCTCTGGTCCGTCCTTTGCTAGCGCTTCCTCATCTTCCTAACCTCTAAATGTTGTTCCAGGGCTTAATCTTAGACTTCTCCCTTCTACCTACACACATTTCCCTGGTGATTTCATTCAATCTCATGGCTGCGAACACCATCTATTTGCTAAACGTTTTTATATCTCCAGTCTGTACTTCTTCTTGATTTCCAGACTCATCTATTTCCACTTAGGTGTCTAATAAGACCCTCAAACTTCAAATTTCCAAAATTGAGCTCCTGGGCAATCGCACTTTCAAACTGGCTTATTCATAGTCTTTCCCATTTAAAAAAAATAACTTCATTCTTCTAGCTGCTCTAGCCAAAATTCTTCACTCTTCTGTTTCTTACTATATCCAATCCAACAAGCAAATTCTGTTGGCTCTGCCTTCAAATACATCCAGAATCTCGTCGTTTCTCAGCCATTCCACTACTACATTATGGCCCAAGTTCTACCATCTCTTGTCGAGATTATTGCCATAGCATCCTAATTGGTCTCTGAACTCCCATTCTTGCATCCTTACTCTCAATATAGAAGTTGGTGGCTCCTCATCTCACAAAGTAAAAGTCAAAGCCCTTATGATCACCTACAAGACTTTCATGATCTGCTTGCTCAAGAGCTCAAAGATATCATCTCCTACTACTCTCCCCCTTGTTCTTTCCACTCTAGCCTCACTGGCATCTATGCCGTTCCTAGAACATTCCAAACATATCCCTACTTTATATTAGTTGTTCCCCTGGTGGAACCCCTTAGCCCCTGGTATCCACATAACTTACTCCCATACTTCATCAGATCTTTACTCAAATGTTACTTAACAGTGAGGCATTCCTTGGCACCTTAAGCTAAAATTATACTTCCTTGACACTTCCTATCCCCATTCCCTCCTTTATTTTTTCCTTTGCACTTATCACCATTTAGCATAGTATATATTTTACTTATTACTCTTGCTTATTGTCTGTCACTTCTCAATAGAATGTAAACTCCACAAAAGGATAGATTTTTTTACTTTCTTTTCACTGCTATATCTCAAGTGCCTAGAACTGTATTTGGCACATAGTTGTCACTCAAAAACTATTTGCTGCATAAATGAATGGGGTTTCAAAAAATAAAAAATCAATAAAAGCCATACAATAAAATATACCACAATATTAACATGTATGTGAATAGTCATCAATAATTTATCTTCCTAACTATGTAAGAAACTTCTAATGGCAGAAATTTTATCTTACATCTCTTTTCCTCCTTAGAGACTGGCATAGAATATTACACATACAGCAATTACTCAAACATTTGACAGCAGAAAATTTTGCCTAAAGACAAATTACTAGGAGATAAAAATAGAACAACAGAATAATTATCTAATTCAACATTAGACTGGCATATAAGAAAGAATGGCTTTAAAAGTAGTTTTTCCCCTCTAATATTTATGAGCGATAGCTTCCAGTGCTAATTTAGGATATCCACTGCAAAAAGGATCATGGACTGCCATGGGTCAAGATGGCTCACAGACCTGCTATCAAGCACAGAAGGTAGAGGATTCGCTCTGGACTAGATACCTTGGCCACCTCATCTTAGTTTGTCTTTGGGAACAGTACCTGGAATGCTGGACATGTTTAATAATTTACTATATAGTTCTCTCTTCTATAAAATTGTAATAATTCTTCAGACTACAAGTACACTTCCTCAAAATCAACTGACTTTTGTGGGTCAAAGCTTGAATAGTCAAACGTTCCTAGAAAAGCGGCAAAGACAGTCATCAACATAATATTACAAATAATGACAGCAAAGGAGTTGAAAGAAGGTGACTCTGAGCCAGGCCAATTCACACAGAACTTGTACGTAAGACATAAACAGGCTGTAAAATGGTTATACCCAGACAGGTTTCTAGTATAATTTAGGCCCACACCTAAACTCCTTTCAACACATGCTAAAGAAGTACAATGGAAATAAGATGAGAGGAAAATCTGATTTCTCCAAGTATGACTCCTTTGAGAAAAGTGTTTGCTAACTTGACTAACGTCTAGAAAAGCAACCACTGTTACAGGATAAAAAGAAAAATAAAAGATTCAAATTCTAACCAAGAATTCTGAGTTCAATTTAGAAAATGAAGAGAAATGAAGAAAAAGGCAAAAACAAGCAAAAAAAACCAAACCTTGATTTTCAAAAATTCAACTAAAATCACAGAAATATCCATATTAACCAACATAGAGACAATAAATGATTCTGTTTTATCTACCTACCAAATGTCTACGACTAAATGTCTAGGTTCACTAAGCAAATAATAATACAACAATGCAAGGCATTTCCTACTTTTCAAATTCTTTCATTATTTTATTTAGTCTTAATTATGTTCCCTTAAAATTATTTGACCGGTCTAATTATCTAAATATCCATCGTTGAGCATGCAAAACACCAGATTACATTTGGTAGGAAATAGGGAAAGAGCTGCTTTGATACTGACATTAATTCCTTTAGTGTACAATATCTCCAGTAGGGTTTTTTTGATTTCTCCCTTCTGTCACCCACTCCAACCACAGTCCTGACTATAACTTACGTGGGATGTGTAAAATTAGCTCAGCTAAATTAGCCTGCTCTGACATTACATTATACAAGACAACATCAGTAGCTGTGTGAACAGGAGATAAACCACTCAACACTAAGTCTCCACACAATACTGGCTCCCTAAGGAATCTCAGTGCTTCAACAAGATTACCTAATACTCTTTGAAAATTTAAAGCAAAGCAGTAAACTCAGAAACAACATATCATCCAACTTGCCTAGGACTGTACAGCAACCTTACTAGCACTCAGATAAATTTTTATCTCTGTAAAATAACTTTGCTGCCACTTGGTTATAAAGAATAGAACTTTCTAATGACCTCTAATTCTCAGTTAACATACTATATTTCAACTTGCTTACTTAACAGGAAATGCAGGATGTTTTGTTTTATTGTAACATTCACTAACAAGTCCATAAATTACCAGATAAAAGCTAGGAAGCTCTGTCCTTTATAAGCTTACCCAGTTTAGCTGCGCCCTCTGGTGGGTACTCAGGAAACTGACCCTCGGAAGGGACACTGACAGTTCTCCGCAGGCATCGCCCTTTGGTGGAATCTGTTTGCTGCTCCTGTCCTCCCTCCACAGGTATCTAGTTAACCAACAGAAAAAGAGATGAAACTTAACAGTTAACTCATCATAACTACCTTCTGTTTGAATAATGTTTTTAGTTAATGATGACAGGAGTTTTTAATCATCAGAGCAAAGTAGAAGAAATGTAGAAATAAAGTATATACAATGGTAAGTTATTACTACCCCTTTTGAGAAGCTTTTCTTTAAAAAGAAAACTTGAAAGATCAGGAAAAGTGAGCATGTAAATTAGCTTATAGGAAGTATGTACAAATAATATACAGAAGTGTACCTGCTTTGGGAGCTCCGGAAAATAAAACAAAACACCCACACAAATAAAAGACTCTTTTACATCAAAAACTGGTTCACAAGCACCATTCTGCCCAAAGCTCAATAAGGTAAATGGAAATGAAAGTTGATGAGAAAGATTTAGCTCCAAAATTCTCTACAAAAAAGGTTTTGTTAGATAAAAGTAGTAAAATCACTCAAATTTTCTTCAATGTTAGAATTAAGCACTTAGAGATAGTTAATAAAACACATTTTCAGTGGAAACTTGTATAGATAATTATATAAAATGGCATATTTTCTTACAAAAGTGAGATTAGTTTTTGAAATCCTAAAAAATATTTTTTTCTGGCATAATTTCAGGAACATATCAAGTGTTGTTTATATATGTGGAATGAGAAATATGAATGGTATAAAAGATCTCTAATGCCAATAACTATTTTAAAACTTACAGGTTATCATTGTAGACTAATGGGATGGCTCTAAGTTCTTTTTTTTTTTGGTAATGCTAAAAGACCAAATCATTTTCGTTTGAGAGTAGAGGGCAAGGACTTTTCACAATGAGATTTTACTAGTAACTTTTACCAGAACTAATAGTACTGGTAACATCTTAAATAGTTTGGCAAAATATGTCAGTAATTAATCACAGTTTCTAATTTCTTATGGCTCCAATATTGAAATTTCAACAAATTTCAATAATAATGACTAGCACTGAGTTTCTTACCATGTGCAAGGCTAAGGAATTTACATGTGTGATATTATGAGGGAGCCATTATTATCATCCTCTTTTTAGATGAGGAATAATTTATTTCTCCAAATGATTACAATGTGCACATATCACATCAACTGATCCAGCAAAACTGGGATAGATACAGGCTTAAGGGTATAGGCCTTCTGCTTTGCCCCAGTAATCCAACGCCTGTGACAGGGGTCAAGGGGATGATAGCCAAGGGAAGCTTTCTCTGTGTTACTGAGAATCTGAAGAGCAAAGTCCTAATGTCTTCATAAGGACTGAAAATTTTCACACTCTTTATAGGACCAAAAATTCCTCATTTCTTCATACCATAACTACGGTTACTGCTTGCACATTGAGAAACAAAAGGCAGAATTAAGAAAGGTAAAATTCTAAAATATAAGGGAGACCGAATAATAGCATCAATAAAGACACGAACTCTTCCAAAAGCACTCTGTAATATAAAACTTTACGAACAGTAATCTAAGTCGCCCATCCCTTTCAGGATGGAAATTATATTATCTCTAATTAAATAATTAAAAGAGTAGCACAGAGAGGTTAAATAACTCCCTCCAAGTAAGAAAGGCAAAAATGTATCCTCTACCTGCCTTAAAAGTAGGAAAGAATGGGGGAAAATTAGGAAGGAAAAAAAAAAAATAGTTTGGATCTTTGAACAAATAGATAAGCCTAAATAAACATAATTATTTTCATAAGAGTTCTAAAAATACCTATTATCTAAAAAAATGAAGGCCTAAGCCACACAGAAAAAAGGTGTAGTTATTTTTGATATTTTAGGAGGGAATGACCTATGATCTTTTCTGTGGAAATTTATAAAGGCCATCTCCAGGAAAAAGTAAGAAACGGCTTCTATTGTCATATGCTTTGTCTCCACCATATCTAAGGAGATGATAAATAAAATATATCAAATCTCTTATTTGGGCCTAGAATTCGCTCACAATGATTTTCTCCAAGTTTTAATGTAGACTTTTTGTCTTCTACTGTTGAAACTTAAAATATGATAAAAGGTTTTATTCAAAGCATCACTCTTAAAGGTTAGCGCATTTTACCTCTGACTTGGGGATATAAGGAAGAATAGTGTTGACTTTTATTCTAAACCTGCATTTCTTAAGAATATTTTACTTTTACAGCACTAACGATTGCTTCTTACCTAAAATATTTTTTAAAGATATTGATCTACTCCTCGAAAATTAGAGGGATCATATTTCAAGTATGTTCAAATGAACTAAGCTGGAGTTCACAAATCTTAGTACACAGCTCAAGAGAATCAGTTTTAGAAAAAGTCAACTTTAGAAAAGCAATTTTGTCCATTTTGATTGTCTTAGTTTATGAGTCCACATTTACTTGTTCATACTGAATTACTCTTTAAAAATTGTTTATCTTTCAGATTCTATAAGCTGAGAGGAATTTTGTTTTTCTTTTAACCTCTTTGGCCTTGTCCTGTGCTTCTGAGTCCTCTTTCTCCTCAGGGGAAAAAAACCAAGCGCTTTAATACATTCCATTTTAGATGAGGAAAGTGGAACATAGTGAGAAGTAAATGGATTCTCTGGTATCTAAAACGTGTTAATAACAAAGACAAACTGGATCTCTGACTGCACTCCTCTTTGTTAGTTCCAAACCATCCACGACAACGGAAGAGCAATGTGGCACAAATACATCAAGTTACTTAGAAATCATCCTTGACCACCAGTACTAAGCATGGAGGCATAAATAAATCACTTAGCCTTACCAAATCTCAATTTCTATATTTTGGGGGCATGGTCTTTCTGGTATCTCAGCTACAGTTGCCTGGGGTGGTAAGATTTTAAAGAGGTCTCTCACTGGCAGAGTCAGGCCTCTAGCATTGCTCAATATGACCACCAGTATCTCTATTTTGTTCTCAACATTTCAGCTGCTCTCTAGAAAGTCTGAGTAGTCCTGCCCTGAGCATGTATAGTCCGGCCCTTGACCAAAGACTCACCAGTGTCCTGCCCAGCAGATTCCAGCCCCTTCACCTGCAGAATTCTTTTTTCTGCCTCCTCAGCTCAGTGGGACTACTACACTCTGCTTGGACTCCATATCAAGTACCAAAGTTGGGAAATGGTACACAGCAGAGAGCCAGAGCAATGGTGATGATCACTGTCTTTGGCCGCCTATTGTCCGATGCCTGAAAATAGTTTCTCTCTCTTTCTCTTCTACAGATTAGATAGATAGATAGATAGATAGATAGACAGACAGACAGACAGACAGAGACAGACAGACAGACAGACAGATAGATAGACAGACAAATAGGCAGTTCTATATATCTCTATATATCGATATATAGTCCAGTTTTATGTCGTTTGTAGTGAGAGGTCTAGTTTTGTACCAGTTACACTATAACACTGGTGGCAAAAGCCTCTTATTATCTCTTATCCAAACCACTAACATGGTCTCTTCATTGGTGACGTTCTGCCTCTTAAATATATCCTTTCCATAGTTATCAGAGTATTTCCAAAATGCAAATATGATTATTTCATTCTGAGGCTTAAAGCCCTTCAGTTGTTCTCCTTTGCCCCTTGCCATGGTTTTCAAAGGAGGGGTGGTGTATTTGTATGTGGAAGTATCTGACAGGGGGAGGTATCTCTCTACTTCAACCAGAGCTTAATTCTGAGTTTATCTGTTTTAAAGGGCTTCTGCTTAAGCTTTTCTACAAAGAAAGGGTTCTTCTGCTAAAAGAGTGTTTTAAAACTACTACTATCTTACAGAGTAAGCACAAGCTCCCTAATATACTATACCAGGTTATCCACAATCTGGCCACTGCGTGAGTGTCCAGCTTCAGACTTTACGTTCTATGAACATCAAATTGCTTGCATTTCCCTACTATATCCCCTATTTTGTAGTTCAGTGCCTTTGCTTAGTTTGTTCTCGAATCCTAAAATATTTTCCCTCACTTTCTTTCCTATTCTATGCCTTCCAGGTAAACTCCTCTTCATCCTAAGGCTTAAGACAGGCATCGCCTCTTCCAGGAATCTTCCCCCTCTACCAATCCCCTAAGGGAAGGTTAAGGTACACCTCCCTGAGGTTCTGTCAATAACAGATCTTTCTCTGTCACTATACTTATTATATTGAATTATAAATATTCATTTGTGCAACTAATTCCACGTAACTTAACAGCTTGTATCTTACCAGTCAATCCCCAAATCTTAAAATAGCTCCAACCCAGAAATGAATAAATATTTGATAGGTAGAGATGGGGCAAAGGAAAAAACATATCAGCCAAAAAGTTGCTAAGCGTATGAATTTTCTGTTTTGCTTTGGAGCAGGAAGTAGGCCAATTTAGCTAGAGACTCTTAAGGGGGATAAGTGGGGTAGAACACCAAAATATATTATGACTACACTGGGAGGGCTTTAATACCAGGTCATGCATAATTCAGGGAGTACTGAGAAACTATTCAAGTTTTTAGATGAGAGGAATGGTAGTCTCTTAATTGGTCTGTCTCCTTCCTATCTCTCTCTCTTCCAATACATCCTACAGATTAATATTCATAACACACAACTTTGATCAAATCTCTTCCTTTCTTAAGCTTCCCTTGATAATTGCCCATTGCCAATAGCATCTTAATGACACAGACTACGGTTCTTTTGAATAAATGGATTTTCTTTTATTCTATCCACTTTACTTATGCTATTTATCAAATGCTGTTTTAAAATTATTTGTCTTAATTCCACAACTAAATCTGGTATGGGGGAGAGAGAGAAAAGAATTGTGTCTTATTCTTTGCAACTTCTAATACAGTGAATACACACACAGGGGCACATTATGTATTTGCTGAATAACCTGAAAGTGGTTCTGAATGAAACATGCCATGAGTAGTTTACCCCAGGATAAATAACAGTTGATTTTAGCTATTTGTACAAACTCTAACTGCTATTTTCATCGGTATATCTGAGTGTAAATACTGCTTTCCAAAAGCAAGAAAAATATTGTAAAATATTTTAAAATTGCATTATTACTACCTTTGCAG